ACTCATTTTGCGTAGTAATTCACTAATCTGCTAGCTACTGAGGATGATGCTATATTGGCGAGGAGTGCAAACAATGCAAAACCCGACTGTGGTGGCTTCACCAATTTTTTTTTTTTAAACTTCACATGTAACAATGCCAAGTATTGATTCAGTGACACAGTGGTAATAGGGTTAACATCTCTGTGAATAACTTGGTCTTTCCTCATGGTTGCAAGGTGGTTGCTGTAGCTCCAGGCATCATGCCTATGTCCAAGGCAGGGAGATGGGGGAAAAGGGGACTTCATCAGTGATTTTGTATCTCTTCTTAAGAAAGCAAAAGCCATTCCAGGAGCTTCCTAGCAGATGTTGGTTATGTCATGTGACCCTCCACTAGCTACAAGGCAGGCTGGGAAAGGAAAAATGATGTCACTTTTCTAGTCTCTATAGTAGGGGTGGGCTGGGGAGAAGTAAGGTACATAAGTATGGGTTAACCAGCAGCTGGCCTCTGCCACATTCTTTTTGGGTTAAGCACAGCTGGCCCCACTCTTGGTTCCTTCACTCCAAGCCTAATGTCTGGAGCCCTCTCTGCCTTCTCCATTCCATTCTCTGTGACAGCTTCAGAAGGGCCATGGACTTGGTAGGAACAAGAAACTAGGAAATTGCTGGGTCAATATCACTGACCTTCTGGTGGGTGAGTCCTTCCCTACAATGTGAGACCCCCTGGATAGGAGGCAGCACCCTCATCTCAGACAGAGCATGTACCTAGCTGTGGCATGGCCCAGGGGGCCTCTCTGCAACCCAGCTGGATGCAAGAAGGGCCTCTGCACCATGCTAACGCCTCAGGCCTCTTCCACATGTTCCTTGGTGGGATCTACTGGGAGCTGGATGAGCTCCTGTTCTTAGAAGTCAGTGACTCAATCTCCCTGACTTCTAGGACTCTCTGTCCTCTGAGTGTCAGCTACTTCTTGGACACCAGAGTGGGAAGGTGAGAGAGGGTGTGTCCAGTGTGACAGATGGAGGCACTCCTCCCCAAATCTCCTGATCAGGAAGGGGCTCCCCAGTTCTCCTTGGGCCCTCCCGGTGCTGTGAATCTGTTTGTCTGTCTCACGTTGTTGCATCTTCTCACTGGATGCCAACACCAGCCTCACCCTGGGTATTGTTTATCCCTTCCCATTGCCTCCTTGGGGGCAGCTCCCGTTTGGGATCTTCCCTGCTGGACCGCCCAAACCTTCAACTCCATCTCATTCCACAGATTCTGTACTCCCCCTGCCCTTTTTGGGGTGCTCATTACATCAGGGCTGAACTTCAGTGCCTGTCCTGGAGGAGGGGGTAGATAAACTCATAGACCATGTACTAATATTAATAATGAGCACCCTCACAGTACTTATTAAGCACCAGATACTTTTACAAATCATATAAAACTCATTTAATTCTCGCAACAGCCCTATATAGAAGGTATTATTTTTATCCCCATTTTACAGATGATGAAACTGAGGGACAGAGCTAAAAGACTTGCTCAAAGTCACATAGCTCATAAGTAGCTGAATCAGGCTTATGAACCCAGGCACTGTAGCTCAACTTAACCTGTACATCACACTGTCATCTCACAGAGTCCTAGGAGAACGTCCAATGGCCTGGGGGAAGTCCTAGAAGTCTTCATGCAGGTCACCTTTAAGCTGGGCTTTGAGAGTCAGTAGCTCACTAATAGAGGTACTGGCGGTTTAGTGGTAGAATTCTCACCTTCCAAACAAGAGAGCCGGGTTCGATTCTAACAATGCACCTCATGTACAGCCACCACCCATCTGTCAGTGGAGACTTGCATGTTACTATGACGCTGGACAGGTTTCAGCGGAGCTGCCAGACTAAGATGGACTAGGAAGAAAGACCTGGAGATCTACTTCTGAAAATCAGCCAGTGAATACCCTATGGATCACAGCAGCCCAATCCGCAACTGATCATGAGGATGGCGCAGAACCTGGTAGCATTTCTTTCTGTTGTGCATGGGTTCGCCATGAGTCAGGGGTCAACCTGACAGCGGCTAACAGCAACAGTTAACTAATGTCTAATGGGGAGAAGGAGGGCTGGCCATTCCTGGCAGAGGGAAAACCGTGGGTGTCATGGCATATTAGGGACCATCTCTGGTTCATAGTAATGACCCTTCCAGTCCTGAAGTGACGTGAATAAGAAAACAAGACACAGGCTGTTGGTTACTGACTCCCATGAGATTTTATTATGTGTGTAGTCGCCCCTGCCCCACCTTCCACCAACCCCCACACCACATTATGGGAATCAAGTAACCTTAAGCCAAGCCGGACTTGGAGAGAGCCTTTCACAAAGATTTTACAGGCTCCAAAAGTATATTAAATTTCCAATCTGCTTGCAACACAAGACTGTAACAACCCACGTCCTTGTGGTGGAGCTGGAGGTGGTGGTGGAGTGGGAGGATGAGGAGGAAGCCCCGAGATAAGAAGCCTCTTCCTGAGAGCACAGGCCTATATCTCTGGTGACCTCTTGGCAAGTGAGGACCCTTGGGCTCCACCTCATATGTGGGGGAGTGCTGCACATCTGCTATCCTGTGTGAATCTCAAAAAATCCCAATTCCTTCTTCTTCCTAGAGCTCCGAACAAGCCCAAGGGCAGGAGATGTGCTTGTTTACTGGAGGCATTTTAACTTGTTTAGCTAGAAAGGAAAGGAAAGAGACCGGCCATTCTAGTTAT